TCAGCGCGTCACGCTTCCGAGTCATCGCTTTCGTGGGACGTACGTAGGATCGGTGAACGCTGTCGCCATCTTGCAGTTGAGAATTCGGTAGTCTTGTGCTGGGTGACGAGCCCAATGCCGTTCGCAATGATGCTGCCGTAGTGCTTCAACGACCATCGTTGCGGATAGCAGCGACAGGCGCTGCAGACTTTCGTGAGATACCATACTAGGCGCTGCAGACTTTCGTGAGATACCATACTGCTAGCGATACCTAGGTGATAAAGGTCCGAAGCCTAAGTACAGTCTAGGTGGCTGTTGGCTATTGTCGTGGGTGGGCGGCTCGTGCCTCAGACTACCTCGGACCGCTTGTTGGGCTTGAATGGGTGGCGGTCATAAGCCGTCGTCATGGCTCACGTCTTGTAACTTGAAGGGTTTCACTTTCCATGACGTGGCGGGCTGTCGGATCACGGCGTGCGCCACACGACCATTCACCGCACAGAGCCACAAACACGATACGACAACGATCTGCGGTCACACTTCTCTGGCGAAAATTGCTTCATTGCCAATATATCTATTTCCTATCCAACTTTTGATCATAGGGATACGTTATGTTCGACGCAGGAGGACAACGCTTACCATTCTTGTCCTGCAATGTGCAAGGTTTCACGACATGGGCAAAATGCGAAAATGAATGCCGACGATCCCAGTTCTGTTGCGCCCAGTGTTGCGCCCGTTTGAAAGAATCGATCAAATGTATTTCGACGCCGGGCTTTGCGGCCGGTTGATTATTTCCGGATATTATCCGGAAAAACGATAATTATCAAGCGACACCGCGGGTTCCGTTGCCATCACTTGCCGGTTTACCGTACAGCCCCAACACATGCACTCCTCGATGTCCTGCTCTTTGCTCATCTGGCTTCAGCGCCTATTTTGTCACTGCCTCGCACGAGTCGCCGATTGGTTCCGGTGGGCGCTTGCCCGGATGCACTTGGCACTTGCCAAGCATTATTCAGCGCCATGCACCCCTCCCAAAAAAACCTTGACATAGTGGCCCTGCAGACGACTCCAGAAGCGCAGCGGTCAGCATGCCGGGTCTCCGCGGCGGACGTGGCTGCCGCTCTCCTTCGTCTCTGGAGCGAGTACGACGCATCCTCTAAAAAGCTACTTGTGCTGACCAACAACAAAGAAATCGGCGACGCCCCAGGGCCTGCCCGTGGTTTGTACCAGCTCCGAACGGCCCTACAGATTTTCCAGTCGCTCGCTCGCGACAGCGTGCAGCCAACGACCTTTTTCAATCAAGCGCGGAGAACCATTGAAATATACGTCGAAGTCTGCCCTCAGGCCAGCAGCAACGACATTGGCCAAGCCACGACGCTGGCCCTCAACAGTCAAGACGCATTTGAAAAGGCGGCCCGGGACGTCAATGCTTGGTGTTCTGAAGCGACTGCGTACCTCGGCTATGGGCGCGACGCCGTCGGCAGCACCGACGACTACGCTGCAGACGTCTCCCACGTCGTCCGAGCCATGTGCAAGAGCGGTGTTCGCGCGATGCAGTCAGTCGCGTTGACCTTTGAGAGCTGCACCCGCGATTTGAGCACTGTGTCTGCCATCTTCAATCAGCTCGCCGTGATGCACGAGCCGGCTACATCCTGTGCCATTCAAGTGCGATCCAGTCGCTCGTCGTCTTCCTACAGCTGCGATGCGGACACTGCATTGGCTGAGGCACTGCGTTTGCATGCGACGCGCGTCAATGCGGTGGTAGAGCGCGTGAATGCGGTGGTAGAGCGCGTGAAAGAGGCCCTTGATCAACTGCGCAAGACGCAAGTCATTGCCCTTCTCGACGCTTTTCTGAGGCACCCGATGGCCCTCGACCAACTGGACACGCGGACGCTGAACGCCATCCTTTTTGCCGTCGACGGCCTCGTCAATGAATGCCGCTTGTTTATGAACGACTACAATGGAGTCATTTACACGGAATAACTCGCGAATTCATTAACGTGTATGTAGTATCTTTGCGCCACGCTGTAGATATGTCTGTTGCATCAACATTCAGTAGTATTTGAATTAACGAAATTCTTTTTGAACGGTTCAAGATGTCTACGGATGAGCTGCCATCCTCGGCAGCATCTCGGTACCAACTAGATGAAGGCCATGAGACCGCCTTCTCACAACAGTTCCGCATGGACCCCAAGCAGATTGAATATGACTTGTGAGAATTCACAAATGATTATTCCCTATCGACTAACTTGAACGGTATGAGTATGAATGCGAGAGAGCATCAACGTTCGTTCCAAATCCAAGAGGGCGAGTTTCGATCCATCTAAAAATAGATCACGCTGTGATTGGCTTCTTTTGGACCAATCCGTGCGCATGCGTGGTTGCACATACAAACATCAAGTAAACGCATCCAGCGATGGCATACCGATCGCTGATTGGGTACAGCGAGCTGAGAATCAAGCTTGGTTTTTGTATGGAAACGTGGCGGCGAGATACGAGATAAATTTGGAGTTGCCATTTCATTCTCGTTGACGAAGGCTCATGGCCAGCCCGCTGGCAGCGGTCGTCCACGGCCTCCTCGCGGCAGGAACCTGCGTCCTCCTCTACTTTGCGCTCAAGTATGCCAAGAAGTACTACTTCATGGTGGCCTTCCTCTTGCCGGTACGACGCGCTGCCTCGCGCTCGTCCTCTTCATGTCTCGGACGTAGCCGTTTGTGAGCTTTTGCATGATCTACGAAAACATTGTGCGCGCCGCGACCAACCTCGACGGCGCCGATGCCAGCGACGGCGGCGACTTTGACAAGAGCCTCACGAGCGTCCAAGTGATGCTCGCACTCCAAGGTACGCGCCATATGGAGGCTACCATCATCGACATGGCTGCGTAGCGTGCATCATTCCGTTCATGCTGCTCATTTGCTTCGAGGTCACGTACCTCGTGCATAAGAACAAGAGCGTCAATTTTTGTGGCATCTCGTTCGAGTCGGGCCACCGCGCGAACCGCAACAACTTCAAAACGACCTTTCTGCGCTTCGCCGTCTGGCTCGTCGGTCTCTCGCTCTTGCTCATCAACCTCTACGTGTACTACAGCTATTTCCAGGACATTACGTTTCAGGAAGGGTGCGTTGCGTCGCCCGTCGTCGATCGATCGGACGTGAGCATGTTCATTAGGAGCTATTTTATCAACGGCGACGGGACCGTGGCCACGGTGCTGACGCAAATTCCGGCCTACGTGCTCGTGATCCTCTCGCTCTACATGGGTCTCCGCCTCTGGAACTATGGCTGCAACTACGCCTTTGTGATCCATGCCACGTGCTTCAACCCGTGGATCTGGATGGTCGTCGGGGCGGTCGCGCTCGCCGTCGGGTACATCATCCCCGGCACACTCTTTGCCATCACGTCCAACATTGGCGAGTTCATCATGCTCGCGGCCATCATCCGCATGTTCAAAGAGGTGCACCACGACCTGCAGGTCGCCGACGAGTTTGGCCGCACCATGGACCGGTCCTTGCCGTCCGCCATGATCGTCGTACCGCGCGACAACATGGCCAACAGCCACGCGACCATCTCGACGCCGATCTCGTCGTACGCACCGATGACGTCGCCGCCCAGCACAAGCGCCGCGAGGTCCGACGACGACGACTCGGACGGCGCGCGGCTGACCGATGCCAACACAAACGCGTATTTTTCCAGCATTCTGGCGCGCACCAAAGGCGATCAATTGCGCTGGGACGTCCCGCCGCCAAGCATTGCGCTCGAGCCCGTCCGGCTCCGAAAGCCGCAGCTGACGTCGCCGCCGAGCGACCACAGCACAAGTACGCCAAAGCCCGTGCCAGCGTTCAACGCCTCATTCCCGCCCGTGCTCGAGGCCAACGACAACGACGCGTGGGTGATACTGGCCGACGAGACGCCTCGCCCGGACTTTGATGCGAGCGCATGGGCCATGGACCCGCCGCGGTCGCGCCGCGAGAGCTACACGGCCAGCGAGACGCGCACGGCCGACGACGAACAGGCGGGCGTTGACGCCGACGAGGCGTTCCAAACCGCAGAAATGCATGCGCCCGACGAGCGCTCCATCGCGTCGGACGCGCCCACCGAGTCGTCCGAGACGCCACTTCACAGCGCGATGCAGGCGATGGCATCCAGCTTCTCCGAAATGCCACCAATGCGTCAACGGGATTACGCCGCCGACGACGACATGGACGTCGACTGGATGCAACAGCTCGGCGCGTCCTTGGACTTTGACGACGATGAGGGTGTTCATGCGGCACTGGACGACATCCCGCTGAATACGCCGCCGCCGCTCGTAGTCTCCATAGACAACGACCACGCAGCGCTCTAAGAATCAATCGAAGCATCTGATAACTTATCCGAGATTGCACTTCCTGTCTCGTTGGCTGCACTAGGCGAACGCGGTGGCCTTGGGCCTCGTTGGCTGCTCGTACCAGGCGGCCTAGGGCTACGGCCGCGGCAAAGACACGGTCGGCGCAGGGGCTCATGGCCATGTTGGGTGTGTTGGGTCGCAGCGCGACGAGGCGGCGGCTTCGAATTTCCAAGATCGTTGCCGTCTGGTGGCAAATTCGAAGGTGTTTAAAACACTCTGTTGCAAATATGCATACAAACACCAAGATGTTGTGGCAATTTCGAACCAACAGTCCTTCGAAAAACGAGATGGCGTCCACCCAAGCGGCCAAGCGCAAGGCCGACGCGATGCTCATGAAGGCGACGACCGCCGACCGCGACATGGACCGCCTCCACCAGCGCGATGTCACGCTCTGCAATGAGTTTGGCTGGACCAAGCTCACGACGACGGGCGCCTTCTGCACGATCTGCTCGCGCATCGTCGTCCCGCGCGGGTCGGGCTTCCGCGAGTACTTTTACCACGAAGAGACCGCAATGCACAAGAAGAACGTCACGGCGACCAGCGACCTCTCGCGCGCGATCGAGGACGAGCATAGCACGTCGACGCGCCGCTCGAGCCGCCTCAAGGACAAGCCGCTCATGCCGCCGATGATCGACATGGACAGCAGCGCCGACGAAGCGGCTGCGCCCAAGACGCGCCGCAGCACCTCGGCGTCCACGACGACGACAACGACGACGGCGACCATGGCCAAGGCCCACTCGAAGCCAGAGCTCATGGTCTATGATGACAGCAGCGACGACAGCGACAGTGGCCCTGTATCGGCGAATACTGCCAAGGTGCTCCAGACGCCGCCGTTGGCCCCGCGCGCGACGACCAACGAGAGTCCGTCGCAGCTGCGCCTCTTGACGCTCAAGAAACAAGCGTCGTCCAGCGCGACCAAGGCGCTGAAGAAGACGCCGACCAAGATGATGTTCAAACCAACGCCCACAAAGTCGTTCAAGCCCACGCCCACAAAGTCGACCAAGCCGACCAAGTCGTCGTCGACGCATGTCAACCACGTGGAAGAAGACGGGCGCCCGTCGTCGTCGAAGAAGGCGCTGCGTGACAAGAAAGTCGGCCCCAAGCAGCCCAGCACCAAGCTTGTCAAGCCACCAAAGGCCACGCCTGCCAGCGACGACAGCTCCGAGGCCGACGAACCCATGATGGAGCAAGATCATCACGTGAATCATGTCGAAGAAGACGTGCAGTCGGCGCCTGAAGAGGCACGCGCGCTCGCAACGAACGCCGGCCTCAATAGCCCGGCGGCCACGGTCACGGCCAGCGAAGGCTACCCAGAGCCGGACGACGTCGCAGCGCCATCGAGCCCCTCAGCGATGACCATTCCATGCACAGAGCCACAACACACAGAAGACGATGCAGAAGAAGTAAATAGCACCAAGTCCATCGCGCGCCCCAAGAAGATCCGCAAGGTCCATAACGGGCTTCGGTCGCCGCCGCTGACCATGCTGCAGTACGACACGCCAGCGACGACGAGCGAAGACACGAGCGGCGACGACGATGCGCTCGAGGTAGCGCCGATGCCATCGCCGACGCCGACCGAGATGGCCATGCCGCCGCCGCCGTCGGCGTGCCTCACGTGCATGGCCCGCTGCGACGCCGACGAGTCGGTCCAGCGCGTGCTCTCGGCGCTGCACAAGCAGACGAGCGCGCTGCAGGAGCAGCTCGATAGCATTCGCATGTTGCTGCAGTTGGCCATGTCCCAGCACAACGTGTCGCATCATGTTTAATACTATGTCGTCGTCTCGTGCGTCCATGTCCTGCAAGCTCTACTATATGTGTGCCGGAGGCAAGAGGGAATATACGAGGACAAGGTACGTGGGTGCATTGAATCGGCGAAGATCCGATGCTCAACGATGAGTCGGGACGACCATTTAGTTTTCGTAGACCCAGGCGTTGCGCGAGGGGCTCCACTCGCAGACGCCTTCGGGGAACCAGAGGGCAATCTCGTGTTCGGCCGACTCGACGGCGTCCGAGCCGTGGCAGATGTTGCGGCCGACTTCGATGGCAAAGTCACCGCGGATCGTGCCGGGGGCCGACTCGGACGGCTTGGTGGCGCCGAGCATCTTGCGGCCCTCCTTGACGGCGTTGGCACCGCCCCAGACCATGGCCACGACCGGGCCCGAGTTCATGTACTCGATGAGGCCGTTGAAGAAGCCCTTGCCGGCGAGGTCGGCGTAGTGGGCCTCGAGGTGCTCCTTGCCCGGGCGGACGAGCTTCATGGCGAGGAGCTGGAAGCCCTTGGCCTCGAAGCGCTTGATGATCTCGCCCACGAGGTTGCGCTGGACGCCGTCCGGCTTGATCATGATGTACGTGCGTTCCATGGTGCGATTACTACGAGGCAAATTCCAAAGTGAGCAGTGGTGACGAAACTTCCAGCGACCAATTTATTTTATTCCTACAAATTCCAAGATGTCGAGGATCATAAATACCAGATTCTCGTCCAGTCAACTCGAATCTTCCTGCGACACACGTGGGAAACGCCGAAAATGCACGTGAAAAAGAAAACCATCTTGATGTTTGTATATTGTGGGAAGTGGAAGGTTCGAGATGCCATCATTTTTCACCGTGATATGACGTGGCAGCATGAGCGCGCAGCAGTCGCCAGAGAAGAGGATCGACGGACGTAATGGACAGGAGGCGGCGAGGAAGGCGGCGAGGACGACATCTAGAAGGGCGAGCGACGGCATGTCGCTGCGGTACGCGCTGCTTGGACGTCTAGTGCTGCAGGTCGACACAAGCGGAGGACGGCTACTCATCAAGGTCACATAGATACGGTATCTGGGCGAACGTGTGGCGTCAGTCAGGGGCGTGCGCAGGCTACTCGTACTCGTGCCACGAGCACTCGAGGACAAGCCAGAGAGCTAAGCCAGAGCCTATGCGCATGCTCACTTCGGCGCCCGTCCACGCCGTCGCGCCACTGGAATCGAAAGTCATTGGGCATCATTTTCGTGGGCGTCCGCTGCGGCATCGGCGCCTGCATCGGCCTTTGTCCTCAACGGGCTCAGGGCATGCGTCAAGCCGACCTTGACGACGCACGCTTTCGCCAGAGCCATCAACTGCACAAAGCGAGCGTCAACACGTCGAGTCGCTTTGCATCGTAGTAGGGGCCCGTCGGGGTTGTAGGGTGGGCTCATATTTCGAGTACCCCAGCATGCTCGTGCTAAAGCCCACAACACTCAGATCTCGAACGACGTCAAAGTGTTCTTATGCAAAGAAGGACGACGACGACGTGCTCAATGCCCAGCGACCGAGTCGATCAAGACGGGGTACCCCGAGTCGAGCGGCACGTCTGGCGACAAGATGCTTTGGCAGATCACGGGGATGTCGGTCTGCACATCGAGGTAGTCGGCGAGGAACACGAGAAGCTGGAAGTCCTTGAGGCGGTCCACGTACGCGCCGCCTTTGCGCAGCGCGTTCTTGAGCGTCTGCCGCGTGCGGTAGCTGCCCTCGCGGTGCAGCGGCGGAAAGTCGGACGAGAGACCCGACGTGTGGTTGGACACGGGCACGACGCACAGGAAAAAGTTGTTGTCGACCTCCTAGGTTGCATCCAATGTTGGATTCGCATCGTCCAATGGCGCGTACCTTGGCGGCCTTCATCTCGACCATGGCCGTGAATGTGTCGTGGATCGCGCAGGTCGCGGGGTTGGCCTCGTCCTCGAGGAGCGCGCCGGCCGAGAACATGTCGAGGCACTGGTCGCTGACCTGGAAAGCCTCGAACGACGCTTGGCCCTCCTTGTCCAGCGTCACCTTGACCGTCACGAACGGTGTTTTCGGGCCGCCCGCGTCGAGCTGGAGCTGCGCGGCGAGGAGGATTTCGCGACTGGAAAAGTGGAATGTCTCGTCTTCGCGGGGCGGGTGGGAGAAGATCCAGCCGACTTTGGACCACCCGAGCGCTGCCGCGACGGCGTCGACCTTGTCCGCATGCGGGTCGTCGTGCACCTCGAACCCATATGGATCGCCCGTCTGCGGCGGCTCGTAGATGCACTCGACGATTACCGTGGGCAGCGCATCTTCGTCCTAGCGCCGACGTCAACTACACGCAAAGCAGGAGAAGGACAGTACCGTGGACGTGGGCGGCTCGACGCGGCCGTAGAGCCAGCCGCAGCGCGACTGCTGGAACGCAAACTGGCGCAAATACGCTTGGAAGCTGTTGCACGACGCGCCGTCGAGGAGGACCTTCTCGAGGTACGGCTTCTTTTGCGCCTTGATTTTGAACTCAAACTGCGAGTCCATCTCCATAAACTCCGAGAGCGTCCAGTGCATCTTCATGTCCCGGAGCGACTTCATGCCCGGGCGGAAGCCCGTCTTCTCAAGACGCGTGTCGTACGCCGCATGCGTGAGCGTGCCATCGGCGTTGATCGTGCGCTGGACGGCGCCGCCCGCGTTCGTCGTAGCAATCGCCTCGCCGTCAAAGTCCAGGTAGAGCATGTCGCCGTGGCCGACCTGCAGCGCCCGCATGGTCATGGCGTCCGCCAGCACGGACGACTGCTTCGGGTCCGAGCTAATGACCTGCCGGTCGACCGAGAGTGCATGCTCCTTCTGCACCCAGCGCTTGATGTCGCCGACCGTCGACGCCGCCGAGAGGTCGGGCACGCGCCACGTCCCAGCCTTCGACCGCAAACGGATCAACATCACAAAATGGCCCCGACCGGCGTCGAAGTCGCTTTTAACGCGTTTAAACCTACCTCGGGCAAGCCACCGCCCGACCCAAGAACCGTTCTGTACCTCATCACGATAGTAAGTCGCTCCTACCCTACACAAGTACCAACGGGATCGTACGCTAGCACGTCCTCGTGCTGTCGAGTAGGAGCAAGGGTCGAGGCAACGGGACCTATGGTGGTAGCCAGGACACGTTTAAATGTTTAACGCGTTTGTCCGGAAAAGGAAGAGAATACACGGATAAACAGGAGTGTTGGTGGATCGCACTGCATCCGGCAAGTCGCGGCAACCGAGTCGTTGATCGTTTCTATAGTCTCTGTGGTTTACATACGGTCCACAACATGACGCAAGCTAGTGTACACGCACCTCGCCGAGGTGGCAGACCACGCCGACCAAAACGCTCACCAGTCGCTTCGCTCCGAGCCTAAATATTTGCCTTGACCATGAGGTGACCACCAAGTACCTCGGTCAGCACCGTCCAGAAGCTGCTTGTTCGGCGCTATGACATACGCGGCTTGGGGGTGGCTTTGGTGCCACCAGCAGCTAGATCGTATGCAAATTTTGACATGCGATGACGCTTCCCAGTCAGCGGTAATGCACGTCCAATGACCTGGAGACGTCGCAGATCTGGCACTCGCAAAGATAGTCTTGGTCGGCGAGGGAGAGGATGTCTGCAAATGAAAGGAAACTGATGGCCGAGCTGGCCTACAAGCAATCTGGATCTGGATAAAGATTCGGCTTCGGGCTATGTGGCGATCTTTCGCGGTAGAAGAACAAAGAGAATTGGGTCCATAGCAACCTGTGTCATAACGCCAGCAATTTATGATGATCAATGTATTGCCATTTTTATACAGACGGAAGATTCCACCGATACAGAAAGAGCTTGCAAGCACACGTCCTCCTACACCTTTAGCACGCCGGCTTGGTCGTCGGCGCGACCGTGGGCGCGGCGGTGAGCTTGGGGTAGACGGGCAGCTCGGCGATTTGGCACACGCCGTTGCCGCCGGCACCGCGACGGACGCGGGCGTAACCCATCTCACCCCACTTGGCACCCCACGAGTTGCGCACCTTCCAGTAGTTGGTCTTGCCCTCGGTGCCATAGCCGACGACGAGCACCGAGTGGTCGGACGGGGACCCGGGGCACGACGTAATGACACCGGACGCGTAATGCTGCCAAATGTCATTGGTCGCCTCGACCATTGAAGCCACGGGTTGCTTGGCGACGACCGTCTCGAGCTTGGGCTCGCCCGACGCCCACGCGTGGCCGTCGATCGCGAGCTTTTGCTTCCGGCAGCTGGTCTGGCACGCGTTGTTCTTGCCGTCGGCGCCCGAAATGTACGGGTAATCTTGCGCGAGGCAGATACCCGTCTTGGTGATCCAGTCGATCGCCGTGTACTCGATGCCGCCGCGGCAGCCTTCGTCGAGTTCGTCGCGGTCGCAGCTCACAATGTCTTGCTCCGAGACGTCAATCGGCGACCCGGTTACGATGCAGTGCGCCGTCTCGACAGCCGCCGTCGTCGCAAAGACCCACGACGACGAGCACTTGCCCTGGTCGCCAACCGCGCCCATGCAGTTGGTCGTCGACCAGTCCACCGTGCCGTTGGCCGCACCGACGCCGCGGTCGACCGCCGACGCTTCGGCGGCGTCCATTTTCAACAAGCCCGCCGTGTAGGACCGAAGGACGTAGTCGCGAAACTCCTTGGGCGTATGAAGAGCGAAGCGGCCGATCGCGAAGGTTGCTTCCGGCTGCGTCTTGGCCACGGCCGCGATCGCGGTCTTGCCGGCTTGAAGGCGCGCGAGGAGGTCGTTCGTGTTGGTCGGGTCGACGCCCTTGGGGAGGTACGACGGGCCAAAGTCCTTGTTCCACTGCGTGAGCTGCGCGAGAAGCGTGTCGTCGGCCGCGAGCACACTCGAGGCGACAAGGGTCGTGGCGAAGGCAAAGCGATGCATGCTGGACGTGGCGAGTTGGGAAATGGCGTGCATTTGATCGCTTGCAATACTCTTGTCTGAGTAAATCTTACCCATGTTGCCGTCCACGTCCTACGGTGGGTTCTCAGACGGTGCTCATCCTATCGAGGCATTATCAGCTCAAGGTTGGATATGCACCGTGGTTCAAAAGCTGCAAAGGGGACTATGGTACAACTACTGAACGGGTACTCTAACGGTGGCATCGTCCTGATCCGTAGAGATGGTGGCGTCCGATCAACACCGGTCCCGGTACCGACGCAGGATCGCAACACCATGTAGCACACTACTCCTACAACAGTTTCTCGAAACACTTGAGGCTGGTTTGCTAAACACTCCAGGCAAGAATATAATATAGCAAGAATGTCGTAGCACGCGCGCTGTGACCCCCTTGCATCGTGGTGCATGGTCATTGGGCTGCGACTTGGGTGCTTGGGTCTCACCTTCTGAGATGATCGTTTTCAAATCAGGCTCGAGTCCAACCAGGCTCATGGTTTACACCCAGCGCGTTGCGACAGATGTTGTCCTGCTCAGAGATGCTAAAGATTCGATGTGAGACTCGCGAAATGGGGGCACATGGTTCTTGTGCAGTCGAACTTCGCGGAGGTTCAGGAGGTTTTCCAACACTGGTGCTCCTACGATGCACTCGTACTACTGCCAACTATGGTGGCTTGCGAGTGTGGATTTTGTAGTAATGCGTTAGAGTGTGGAAAAATGGTTGATGCGTGGCCTGTAAGTGTGGAAAGTACTAGAGTAAAAATAAAAAATAAAGCAAATGACTTCTCATAACACCAGCGTCCGCTCACACCGTCTTGGAATAGCAACGGTGGACGTTCATCAAGAGCCAGCAACTCAAAACTCAATTCGAGTTTCTGGCCGACATCCCGAGTCAACGGACGTGGTCACATACGATCATCAAAGTCATTTGTGATGTCAACTTTGAAAACAAAGTAGAACAGAGCCAATACTAAAGAATTTGATCCTGTATAAGTACGGTCTTACTATTTTCTACCGTAAATTTCACGTTGCTACGTAACAAATCGCGCGATTCCTTGCGTAGATTTCGTTGCACCTCGTTGAAAGGCAAATGAGATGGCGTGATTTCTGCATGGCGCGTAGTAATCCGCATAAAACCAGCTGGTTCCGCATAATTTAGCGTATATTTACGGTAAATTTCGAATTGGAGCGTCATTCTCAAGATTCACACTATCAATTGTTCCATTTTTGTAGTGTACGTACTACCTTGAATAGTCTGCGCTTCAAAACAAGGATCAAATCCCGAAACAAATGGCTCTAAATAGGCTTCTCATTACTGGTTACGGCAATCTCAACAACAAGTGCCATGGCCGAGCCAGCGGCGAAGCGGGCTGAGCAGACGTCTCTCGCGTGGTACGACACGCCCGTCGTCGTGCTCGTCCTACAGTGTATACCGGCGTTCGTGGACGCCGTTGCGTTGCTCGAGGCGCTGCCACCAAGTTCCCAAACCACGTCGGGCTCGGCGCTCGTCGCCCTGCACCGCCAACATGGCCTCCCGGGTCACCACCTCTGGCCCGTACTAGAGCTCGACAAGATTCCGCACGCGCTTATGAACCTTGCAGTATCCGCGCTGCCGATGGTGCCCACTCTATGCGTCTCAAGAGTGCAGGGCGACGACATCGTTGGTTCGGTCCACGTGTCTTTGGTAACGGCCACGATGGCAGGCTCGGACCTCGTCCGTTCGCACGTTCTTTCCGACCAGTGTTGCTCGCTGGCTACCTTTGTTGAGCGCTACGGCCATGCGATCGTGCGCATCGCCTTGAACGTGCGCGGCGACGCGGCAACTGGAGCAGTGGCCTCGGCGCTTCAGCACTGCACCCGACCGCGTCAGCTGTCGCTCGAACTGTCGGTCGACGCCGTGTCAAGCATAGCGCCGCTGCTTGCATCTATTGCAACGCATGCGCTAGGCGCCTTGTCGCTTTGCATCGAGCGCCCAAGTGATGACGACGATGACGACGACGATGGCATTCCTGCTGTGCTGTGTCCACCGATGCTGCTGTCGTGGCTGGCGCTGCCGGTCGCATCGTCTTTGCGACTTGTCAATGTGACGTTTACCAATCCCGGGTCTCTCCGCCAAGCGCTATGCGGCCTGCACAACCTCGAGCTCGTGCGTGTCCACGACCTTCTGGTCGACGCGAGTGACGCGCCGCGCTTGTCGGCGCTACAGTCGCTCGTCGCCACAAACGTCCGGCTGCCCAGCGTACACGGGTTGCTTTGTCAGCTCAGTGCGAAGACGCTCACGCACCTCGATCTCGACGGTCCTTTGGACTGGTCGCCGCTGCTCGCTGCGCTCAAGCACCTCGTTGCGCTTCACCTCCACGGCGGGACCATGACCGCTCTTGGGCAAGTTGACGTTGCACGCGTACCGCAGCTGCAAACAGTGAAGCTCTCTCGAGTCCACGTGCCCGACAAGGACGCGCCTATCCTCGTTGCGTGGCTCGATACCGCAGAGGCGCTGCGGGAGCTGCACTGGACGCACAGCGCTCTCGCGATGCACGGCCCGGTGGCCGTGGCCCATGCACTGCCTCGCTGGTTGCGACTCGGCCTGCAGACGCTGACGCTCGCCAACAATTTTATCAGCGACGACGCGGCGCTTGTTCTGTCGATGGCGATTGCCAAGGGCGGCAACACCACCGACGTCGCTTTGGACTTGAGTGCCAACGTGTTCAAACTCCCGGGTCTCCGCGCGCTTCTTTTAGCGCTGAGTGCCAGCGTCAAGCTGTCGATCCGACTCGACGGGCTCCAGCTCATGCGTCGGCACCTCGAGGAGCTTGGTGCCTTCGCTGCCGCCCATGGGGTGCAGTGCGACGCGGTGACGCAAGTGTATACCCCGCCTCCTGCCGACAAGACACGATGGCGGCTCTGATCGAGTCCGTGTCAGTCGTCGATCCACCGCTAGCGTACTAGTAGGTGCTTCCCAGTAGCAAGTGCCAACTGCAGTATTGCCATCGGCCACTGATACATAGCAAGGTAGAGCCAAGGGTCAATAAGCGGTTTAATGCCCCTTAACTAATGGCCAGAAAGAAATAAAGTGTTGACAGTTTGTTGTACAACCCAACGATATCTTTTGCACGCCAAATGCAAACTTTCAAAAATCTAAGAATCCAAAATCCAAAAATCCAAAATTCAAGAATCCGAAAATCCAAATCCCAATAATCTAGGACGACGCCATATAATGTAAATTTCGACAATGCTTTATGACACTTGCGACGTTGTGGTTTGCAAGGCGAACGCACCTCGCAAAGCAGCTTGGTCTTTTTGACTCGGACGTCCTGCGCTGTCCAACGGAGAGTGCATGCGACGACCAACACTCTGATACCGCGATACCTCTCTCAAACGAATACCCTCTATCATTGAATGTTCTTTTTCCAGTGAGGCGTGTGAAATGCCTCTATAAATACATATATTTGCACATTCAATATATGGGACAAAGCCTCGGGCGCAAGGCCGCTGAAACTCCACAAGCCAATTCGCAGCCAAGCCGACGCAGCAGCATGGACAACAAGTTCATCCCGCAGGTACTTGGCCGCCGCCTCTCGCCGCCCGCCCATGACGCATGGCTCAACTAGGCCATCGCGCTCGTGACGCAGGCGATCCAGGAAGACACCAACAAGAACTACGAAGCTGCGTTCAAGCTCTACAAGCAGTCGCTCGAGCACTTTATGATCGGCGTCAAATGTACGACGACGATGCGCAATGGGCATGACGTCATCTTCGTCATGTAGATGAGAAGAACCCGACGTCCAAAGAGATCATCATGAAGCGCGTCGAGGGCTACATGTCCCGCGCCGAACAGCTGCGCGAGATGCTCGAGGGCGCGTCCAAGCCCAAGGTCGTGCCCGCGGGCGGCGTCGCTGAAAAGTACCATCTGCACACGCTGCATCAACCCATGACGTTAACGCCTCGCCGCTAGGGAAAAGGATGACGAAGAGAATGAAGATGCCGAAAAGAACAAGCTGCGGGGCGCTTTGGCCTGTACGACGTCCCCTCGTAGCATACCAAGGCTCATGGGTGGACGTAGCTGCCGTCGTCTCGGAGAAGCCCAACGTCAAGTGGGATGACGTCGCCGGTCTCGAAGCCGCAAAAGAAGCGCTCAAGGAAGCCGTGATCCTTCCGGCGCGCTTCCCGCAGCTCTTTACCGGAAAGCGCCGGCCATGGAAGGGGATTCTTCTCTACGGCGTACGCCCATATTCGCATTGCCATGGTCTCATCCTGATGCATGTAGCCGCCGGGTACCGGTAAGTCGTACTTGGCCAAAGCCGTGGCGACCGAGGCCGACTCGACCTTCTTCTCCGTCTCGTCGTCCGACCTCGTTTCCAAATGGCAAGGCGAGAGCGAGCGGTACGACTGCTCTCAACTCTTGCCTCTTGTATCTCTTATTTCGATTTTGCACGATTGAATGAGGCAACTCAAACGCCAATTTTCCTGATTAGATTGGTGAAAAACCTCTTTGAGATGGCGCGGGAGAAGAAACCTTCGATCATTTTCATCGATGAGATCGACTCGCTATGCTCGAACCGGTCAGAAGGCGAGAGCGACTCGACACGACGCATCAAGACCGAGTTCCTGGTGCAAATGCAAGGCGTCGGCCACTCGCACGACGGCATCCTCGTCCTCGGCGCCACCAACGTCCCGTGGGAGCTCGACCCGGCCATGCGCCGCCGGTATGACTCTTGCATCACTCCCACCAGCCTTCTTATCCTCGTCTTAGTTTTGAGAAGCGAATTTACATTCCGCTCCCCGAAGTCGAAGCGCGCAAGGTCATGCTCAAGATCCACCTTGGCGACACGCCCAACACGCTCTCGGACGACGACTTTACCTACCTCGCTTCCCAAGCCGAAGGGTAATTTCTACTTATACATCATGGCGGACAAGGGCACTCATATATGTCTACAATAGCACGTCCGGCTCGGATATCTCGGTGCTCGTGCGTGAGGCTCTCATGGAGCCGCTGCGTCTCTGCCAGCAAGCGCAATTTTTCATGCGGGTCATTGCAGCGCTAGAGTCATATGGACGGTCGCTCACAGGTAGATGCTTAGTGCGACGACAAGTGCCACCCCAACCGCAACGGGGCCTTCTTGACACCGTGTCCTGACGACCCGCCGTGCCCGTACTGCCACATGAAGCTCTCTTCGGTATCTATGACTTGGCTCTGCCCAACTCGAACGCCTTGAATAGTGTGGGAGCGCGTGCCAGGGCTGCAAGACGCCGTGCGGGCGCTGCGGCGCTTACCGCATGCGCCTCTACGATTTGCCGGAGCGCGGCTTCCGCGACGACCAGCTCAAGCCGCCCATGGTGTCCATGGTACGACGACATGACACTAATTTCCAGCATGTGACAGCAAATGGGGTTTTGTAGCGCGATTTCAAAAAGGTGTTGGAGCACTCGATCTCGAGCGTTGCGCCCGAAGAACTCAACCAGTTTGTCAAGTGGACGACCGAGTTTGGCCAAGAAGGCTAGCTGCTGCTGCTTGTCGTTGCTGTGTCAGCTGGCCTTTTTCACGTACCTAACCTTTTCCACTAACCTAACCTACCCCTTGCCGCAAAATTATGTGACGTCCTGGGAACACAACAGTACTAGTACGCTGGAGCGGTGGCTGCCCGTGTCTCGAGCGCCTTCATGTCGGTCTTGGCATTGGTCTCTTGCGTCTACAGCGCCATGAGGTTCGCCGTCTCCTCCTCGAGCTTTGTCTTGGCCTCTGCGAGCGCCGACT